CAATAAAGTCCTTCTTCACAGACGCATTTGTAAGAACCTTGAGTATTTTTGCAACGCTGTGACGAATCCTGACATTTAAAGGTCCACTCCAAGCACTCGTCTATATCTAAAATGACAAACTAAAGTCAGTAAATTAAAACCAAGTTGCCTTAATATATAGAGAAAGATATTTTTCGTCTTGTCACGAGCGCGGGACAAAGAAAAAATTCTGAGTCCCACGAGGATAAAGTGAGTAACACACAAGTGATATTTGAGAATGTGTGAACCCAGAAAATTTTTCACATTGCAAGAGAATTTCATGATTTTAGAGCAAGTTGACTTACTTCAAATAATCTTCGTGCATGAAATGATCAAATGAAAAATTAGACTTGCAGATAAATTGCTTAAAACATTTTATCCTGAAACAACGTTTCAATTGAGAGAGAGAGAGAGAGTTACATTTTTTTTCTCCGTGGTAATGCCTTAATTTTGCCTTTACACTACCTATGCAAGTGACGTTGCATTTATGGCTGCATCTATTCTCATTTGGTGCACATTCATCAATATCTAATGGAAAAATGGCGAAACTGTAAGTAGCGGAATTACTTGAAATCCTCCAGTCTAACACTGCATTAATAACATACAGACTGTCTGACAGTCTGTAACTGTTAGTGACAGACTGTTAGAACGTTTTTCAGAACACAGGTAAGGCGCTGGGAATCACTACTTTAGTTCTTTCGCCGCTGTCTCTACTGATTAAAGTTTTCAAATCATTTCATGTAGATCATTTATGTCAGATATACTTCTAATTCCCCTCGCAACATCAAACACAGCCTTTGGTCTTCTTTAGGCACATAAAAAATAAAAATTAAAAACCTAAATCCTCCCTTAGGGTTGCATGTTCGCTGTCTATATTAAGCTAGCCATAAATTTAATTTAGAGCCGTTTGATCCTTCGTTATGGCATTAGCCTTGAAGAAAACAAGTTGTATTATTTGAAAGTGCCCTACGCCTTAAACTGAGTGCCAACCCTGATATCTATTTGGTTGATTTATTCTTCGTTTACCAGGTTCTGGCCATTTATTTAAAAGAAACATAGCTTAAAACATGATTGTAAATCTCAATGTAGAGGGTAACGTTTTTAAATGAGAAATACTATCTGGTGCCATCTTGAACACGGCGAACAGTATACATGATATGCACGAATCCCTTCTCTTTTACCTCAAACCAAGTGAAGTGAGATCCAATTGAATTTGTTCACTCTCTAAATGTATACTAACTGGCCCTAGTTTCTTAGGTTAATAAAATTATACCCACCTTTGCAACTATCCCCATCGTCTCCAAGAAGATAGCCTCGTCTACAAGCACATTGTTGAATTTTGTTTGAACCAAGGTAACAGATGTGCTGACAATTATGTTTACTTTTCTGACATGGAGAATCGGCTGAAATGAAAAGGTTTATAATTATTGTTATTTTTTTCATACGTTTCATGTTGCTTACCGAAAAAAAGCGTTTACAGAATCAAACGATTTTCGCCTGCCAATACATTAAAAAAAAGAAATACACTCAGTGATTTCTGACATCGCTTAAAATGGCACACAACTTAATAATTATAAAACTATCAGAAAAACTGATCAAAACGTTACCAAAGAGAAACTCAAAGTAAAATACTTACACTTCCTAACAGTAATTATCAGATGCTAGATAAAATGGACTTTACATCTTAAAAGAATCGCTTGTACATCAAGGTTACTAGGTAGATTTTTTCAAGGAAATGTAGACTTCCGTTAGTAATTATAATCATAAACTGCCCACCCCATGCAGTAATTTAACTCCAAGTGCGGGTAAAGCAATTTAAAAATCACTTACGAATACAACTTTTGGGATCTGAAGGGTCCACTTTGAAGAAATCATCACAGCTACATCGATATCCACCGTTTGTATTTTCGCACTTGTGCATACAGTCGCTAACAGGAACGCATTCATTGATGTCTGATTAAAAAAAAAGTGAATTAAAAATAGAGAAGCCTTGACTGTGCTCTGTTCTGTCGTAAAGCACGCAGGAAGCGGCTAGAGCACGAAAGAAGTGTAGGGAGAAACAGGAGACGTAGTCGAGTATTTCTTCTCATTTGTTTTATAAAAAATACGTTGAATTCCCCATGCATTTCGTCAAATTTTCGAACAAACTTTATTTCCAAAGCGAACAACAATGTCGACAGCATGCTCTATACACTTTCAAAAAGCACGCCACAATGAGCCAATCAGAATCCTTCTTGGGATGGTTCAAATAAACTGATTGGTTGAAAAAGATTTAAGCTGTCTAAAATGTCAAACCATCAGAGTTCACAAACCATCGAAGTTCACAATTCGTAATAGTTTACAAACTGAAATAGTTCGGCAAGTCGAATTTAGCACTTTTGCCGCAAGTCTATTTAGTCTCTAATACGAAATTTGAAAGGGAAATGTTTAGTGAAATCCGGCCGAATTTTGGCTCATAAAAACACACATGAAAATTAGGCAACAAACTGTTGAAGGCGTGTGTTTTATAAAGGAACGACAGCTGAATTCACTGGAACATGAAGATTGCTCGGGATGACAACGCCATCCATTTTCACTCGAAAGGCGGCCGATGTAAATTCTGAGGCTTGCTACACTACGCTGACCGGAGATTGCCACGATGAGCATGCCTCGATGGACCTCAGCATGATCGCAGTAGCTCTGACACCGTCATGATTAGTATGAACTTTGACGCTTACTCCAGTTTAGCTATATTTTTCATCATTTGTTTTGTTTTGTTTTTGAACACAAAACTATATATACTAAACGAGTGTTACCAGTGTTTAATTTTTATTACCGTACGTAACTTGCAATCCAGCTGAGCGTGTGAACCTTCAAAACTCGAACTGTCCATTTCGTTTTCTCTTTCAGGATTTTCGTTTTTACTTTTGTCATAATAAAGAAAATTGTGGCGCTTGGTATGTTTACAAATCTTTGTTTGGTTCTTCTGTTGCGACTTGCCGTCTCGTTTGCTCCGAAGTTTCACTTTCAATTAACGAAAAAAAGCTAGAGAGAAGTCTGGGAAAAGTTGGCACAATTTAGAAGATGGCGTGATAGCTTTAGCTCTATGCTTGTACTATGATAGTGCACGCTTTTTCAGCTAATGATAGCGCGTGTTATATACGAACTTTGTTATAATAAGGAGTTATACTTAAACATATAGGGTTTGTGCGAGTAAATTTTAATTCTATCGCGCAACGGTCCTCTAAAATATTCATTACGCATGGTAGCTTACTCAGAGATGAAATGAGAGAAAACATGGGAATTTGGTGCTTTACCATCACAATTTCGCTGGTCAATCTTGAGCAAGTATCCTTTTCTACAGTCGCATGTGAACGAGCCTGGTGTGTTGATACAGACTTGACTGCATCCACCGTTCGACCCTTGTAAACATTCGTCAAAGTCTGAAAAAGGAATAATTATATGATAGTATGTTATTATTTGTGTGCTGCTAACATCAAAACTTTCTTCTTCTTATAATGGATACTCAGAGGTTTCAGTGGTTACACAATTTGAGCATAACATATTGAATGAGCCTGAGGTGTTTATTTACCAATTGGACTCAGTTTTCTTGAGAAAAAAGTCTTACTGGGATCAGTTCGATGGAGCTGCGATGTAAGTGCAGCCCCATATGACGTTTTAACTCTGAATTGTAGCAATACCATACAAACGCAGAGTCTAGCTAGGTCAGCTAAGTACTCGACAAAATGTGCATTATTTCTTCCGCAAAATTACAGCCCTCTTTTAAGGTAATATCTAAATAGCTGTATAGACATTGTTTCCCTCGCAAATAACTTATTCTTGTCGGTTCTTTGACTGACTTAAGGAGTACAGTGAAACTGGATCAGGGATACGTTTGCCTTTATATATGTTTTGAGCTATGTCAGTAATCCAGTTTGATGATGGATACCTCGACATTTGGATCCATCTCCCGTGAATCCATTCGGACAAGGTCCACATTTGTAGCCAGATATATTTGCTGGAGGGGGAAGGTCGATGCACTTTACACCTGGGTAACATGGGTTTAGATTTGCTTCACATGCGTCGAGATCACTCTCGCAGAGCGTTCCTGTATACCCATTCAAACAACCACACTCAAGTACATTCATCTTGTTGCTATTATGCGTGGAGTTTTTGTTGCTGGCTGAATGAAGGCAAACGCCATTGTTATGACAAGCACAGAGATTAATGATTGGCCTCAAGAATGCTGTTGCACCCTGATCGTCTGTTACCACAAATTCTAATTCAATCTGCAAACAGGAAAGCGTTGGTGAGTAATGATGTTAATACGGTATGTTAGAGTTGTAACTAATTTTAGTATTCTTAGTATGTTAGTATTGTAAGTAATGTTGCATTGTAAATAATGTTAGTAGTGAAAAAATTAAATTCAATAAATGAAAACTAACAAACAATAAACAGTGGTAATAGTACTAATGTTGCATTGTAATTAATGTTAGTATTGATAAAATTAAATTCAATAAATGAAAACCAACAAACAACAAACAGTGGAGGCCGACTCGGCCTGTAATCATGACAGTGATTAATTGCGAGTATGAATAAAATAAAGAATGATACGATTTATCAAGTGCTCAGAAAAACAACTTTGCATCTAAATGCATTTCATAGAATACAATACAGAATTCAATGAAAGAATACGTGTTCGTTAGTTCCGTTCCACGTGACTGTCACAGAGTTGGAATTGTTCCGTAGAATAGCTGCACGAGGTAGAACGCCGAAAACAGAGAATATCAAGGTGTCGTTGTTTGGGTCTTCTGCAACCACAGACACACTAATACTCTGATTCACAGTGACATTCACTTGGGAGAGCTGTGTGACGAACCGGGGTGGATAATTTTCTGTCAAAAATAAAAGGTGGTATTGGTACTCTTACATGTTTCAAACTGTCACATTGAAAATTTCATTTCATTTTGTTTAGTTTTAAAAAACTTTGTTACACTCGACGCTCGGTCCAAGATCGAAAAATTTCTTGTTTGTTCGTTGAGCGTCGGTGGAAGTCATTGAAGTCTTTTAGCGTGAGAGATAACAAAGGGAGCTATTTTTTAACGTTTATTGGTATAAATGGACTTAGCACAATACGTATGTGTGGCTGATTTCTGAAGTAGACGTGCATTGTTTTTTATCCCTTTAAGATTTAAACTGGTTGTCAAAAATCAGATAAGCAGAATTAAATGAAGGCCATTTTCCAAAAGGCACCAACGAAATATGTGTTACAGCTTACCCGTCGGTAGACATACCAATCCAAGCACAAGCAACTTAGTTCAATAGTCACGAAATTTTTCGAATGGTCCAGCGTCCGTATCATAAATACTACCATTGTGAGCAGAATATAGATAGAACTTAAAGACGCTGATGCTTTTAGACGCGAACGGTAATAATTGGAAGTTGAATATCGGTGCTTTCAGTACGTTTTGGCAGCTACCAAATCGTCAAAAAGCCCATTTTTCATCTTCAAACGAGGTACTGCACTAAAAAACCTTGAATTAAGGGAAAAGAAAACTCGACTTCCGACGACCTCTCGTGTATTGTAAACGGGGTAACTTACTAAGAGAAGATGACTCTTTCTCCAGTGTGGACGACATTGCCTTTGTGTTTGCGCCCATTGAAACATCCTTAGTAGAGGCGGAATCAAATAAGCAGTTGAGATCTCCTTGGCAAGCTTCTTCTGCTTGTTTGCGTAAGGTGTCATTTGGGAAGGAAAGATCTTCAAGGAACATAGGGACAAAAGATGCATTTTCGAAAGTTTTCAGGCTTTCTCCTGGTTTGTATGTAAAGAGTGTGGACCTGTTGTCTACCTGCCCTATTATAGAGAAAAATGGGGAAAAGCTTCAATGTGACCAACTGATTCTTTGTCAATCTATGGATTGCAAAAAGGATTAGAAACCATAAACTCCTCGACGGCTATCAATTATGGCATAACGAACATTACTAACTCCAGTTCCGTGAGTAATAAAAGACCGCACTTTTTCAAGTTGGGGTGTATCTTTTAGCCGAGGGCGTCCTATAGCTGCACAGCTACGGTAGTTTAACCTGCCGTCCTAGGTAGTCGATTGGAAGTACGTTAGCTTCTATGAGAAGCACTAAAAATTGATTTTTCCAAAATATTGAATTTGCCTCTGCTTCACCGACTAAGTGAAAAGGGCACTGACCCTTCGCAGCAAAGCGCACACTTTCAAAAATTCTGAATTACATATATAGGTAAATGAAACTTACTTAAAAAGGTGTGGGCGAGCAATTAAGATATATAGTTTTTTAAACAAAAAACAATGCTAACGTCAAATACAATAGTCACTTTACAGCTAGAACTAATAAAAATGATAGGTGAAGGGAAATTTAGCAATGAAAATTCCACTTCTCCACTGTTTCCGGGTTGAACTAAGGTTACAATTTTAATTTTTGCGGAGGGAGGAAAACTAGAAGACCTGGGGAAAAATTTTTGGAGCAAGGTCGACAACCGAAAGCAAACCCAACCAACATGAGTCAGAAGGCTTAGGAGTCGAACCCAAGCTACTAGGGTGGGAGGTCAGCGCTCTCACTAATGCATCAGCTCTGCCCCCTAGACAAAGTTACCACAATAGCACTATGAAATCAATTAGAACTTATAAGAAAGAAAACTTTACTCACAAAGGAGACCAAAATTGTAATGAATGTCCTTGCTGTTCGCGTTTGAAGGCAAGATGGTTCCATTAGGCGTCAAAAAGTCGTCTTCAGGATCATCATTCCATCTTCCTAACAGGCCCTTTGTTTGATTTTTGAAGCTCTTTGGTGCAGCAAGTACAATTGAAAGTGCTCCCGAAACAGCTTTCGCTGTGACTGATATCCCCGACTGAAAAACCATTACAAAGGAGTTGTTGTCTGGTTTGGCAACAGCAACAGAGCCCTTAAGTGTAACAGATTCGTTTGAAAGGCTAGTGTAGTTAAAGGACTCTCCATCAATCAGCACGCTTAAGCGTATTTCTGTGGATAGAATTAGTCGATAAGATCATTTGACGAAAACACATACCAACAGAACAATGTATATTCACTTATTTCCAAGAATTTGGTTGTTTAAGTACGTAGAAAAGAACAAGATCGGACAATAAAAAGTTACGATAAAATCGAGGAAACCTTCAGATGGCAGAAGATTAAGTAATCCATTCTAACTATTGCATTTTGCTTAGTTACTGACCTGCATCGTTCAACTCAACCTGGACGACACTAGAATTGCCTTCCTTCGCAGCTGCAGCAGAAAACACTGTCGCTGTTCCGCCCCCTTTGGCCAGTTTCGTCCGAGCTTGTAACTGAAAAAATCCGTCACGAGCATCGGTCATCATGTATTCACCAAGACCATTAAAGGTGTAGTTTTTGCCATCAAGAGTGACAAAATGAGGGTCACCCCAGAGCCAACCTAAAAGTAGAAAAATTATATGAGATATATTCGTGAAATCAATGATATCTTGATGCAAACAACTGGAAGGCAAGCATAATGCCTTGATTGCAAGATTCTACTGAGAGCAAAAGTTGTGTGTGTGCATAATAATATTTTAGATAAAATCCTTACTCCATTCTGGTACCACATAATTTCCGCAATTATCGGAAGGGCGTCTCTTGTAATACAAGTCACACAAGTCTGAGTTGACGCAGCACTTTTGATAGCCTTGTACGTCGCTTGAGTCGTGTTTAGCTCTTAATTCCTCGGTCAACTTGTGGTATCTATGTGCCGAACCTCCACCAGTATTTCCCACAAGCAGTGCACCCCAACTTTGCCAGTTAGTGGAGTAACAACATTCCTGGCCCCACCCATGTGGTGAGGGGAACTGAGCGTAGCCACACATTCTTGGCCAGTCTCTCCAGTTCACTGTGAACCTTTCGTCCCACCATGCTTGTCGCAGGACACAAGGACAAGGTTCGATGTATTCAGTGTAGAATCGAGGATCTGGTTGTGCTTTGAACCAGTCAATGCACTCCTGTCTTGCGTTAAGTTTCCCGAGGGATTCTTCCAGTCTGAAAAACCACTTCCCAACCATGTCAGCGTTACCTCTTATTCCGTCGATTGTTTCTATGTTGACAGTACCCGATCTAGGAAAGAGACAAACGGGAAACTTCCCCATCGATCAGATTTTCTACCACCCAATTAAAAGATATAGCTCTGTGCTTAACAACACAACCTACCGTGGCATGTTATATTTCCTTTCTCCCTTGTCTCCAGCATTCCAACCAACCACAGGCAACCCATATGAGTTGGAATAATATCGATAGTACATCCTGCAACAGAAATACAATTATTACTTTCATCTGGAGACGAAAAAAAAACTGAAAACGACTCTTTCAAAATTGCACAGTTAGGTAAAGGCAGCCGTTGAGCCATTGAACTGCGATAAGGTTGCTAACTGATTGACATATTTTAAAACCCATTGGAATGCGCTTGTATAATTCATACAATAACCCTGTGTTGAGAGATGAACAGAGTTCTAATTTCAGATTGTGAGTCAGTTGCTGCATCAAGCAGCAGTCCATTAAATTCTCCTGACTCACAATAGAATAATTGTCTATGTTTAAGCTTCTTCGACAGCAAATAGTGTCTTGGTCATCGAAAGAACTTCTAATTTCGAGGAGATCCTTTGGTATTAACTTGACGTCTCAAGTTTCGGGGGAACCCTAGTTTTAGTACCATAAATAGGATAACTGCATTCCCTAAAAGAGACTGATTTTGAGCTTTGTCTACTACAAGGTAGTGTATTCTCGTTCCACATATTGGTCGCGAGATCATTTTTCATGCAGTTTGCTGATGGAGAATTGTAAAAGTAAATGTATTGTTTTAATGCAATTCAACCAATATGAATGGAATGGATGATGCCAGTTTATTGAACCATTACACTTTAATCAATCATTTGGAAGTGGTTTTTTCACTGACGAATTGTGTCAAAGAGAGTTGGTTTCGAGCTCAGGAGGACTAAGGGCACTAACGTGATGGTGTGCAAATAGCGCAGCTTATAGGCAAATAGAGAAGCTTTTCCTTCCATAGACAGCAGTTTTCAAGAAACTCTGAACTAGGAAGACCTCTACACTGAGCAAACCTCTGGGTTGGAACGGACCACTGCAGACCATTGCTTGGATAATTGTACATCGTGAAGGAGTACACTCCATCTGTAATCAAAACCAACTGAAACGTATTTCCCTATGGATTCAATGTGATAAGTAATAAACAAGAATTGAACTTGATTGATGAATTTTGATTGGTTCTTACTTATGATGTATTAGAGGACAAACGCCCAGATGACTTCATAATTAACACCATTTTGCTGTTTATTATATAAAATGAGTAAAGTTCATGGTGCCGTGTTAAATATAATATCTTCAGGGTTTTAAAGTATTAGAAAAATGCATTTCTTAAATAAACTTATTAGCAAGTGTATAGTTTCTTCCTCCATCCAGCATTAAGATTAATACCCCCGAACATAATGACAAGGCTTCTGAGCAAAGATCTAGATCTTTTCTGAGAGATCTCTTCATATCGGGAGATCACACTAATTTGCATTTCTGTGAAACTTATTTGTTTCCGATTCTCGTTAAAACTGTTAGGCACAATTTCCAGACTTGATTTCGCAACACGTATTCTTCTTTTAAAAGGGAAGGTACCGCTCTTGCCTCAGTAAAATCTTAGCGTAGTTGTGTTAAGACCCGTGGAACATCTTGCGCATTCGTAAAATTAGCTATTACTTTTACCTGGTTTGCCATATTAGCAGGGTACTGATACGGACGTAAATTTTTCCACGTTACCACCAGCACCCATGATGCCTTGAAGGCGGTTGGCAAAGGAGTCGACAACAGCCTCGTTGTGTCTGAAGAGGCCCTCTTCAACAAAGGAGTAGAACTTGGGTCGGAATCTGAATACACGTGGTAGTAAACTTTAGAAAAGCCCTGAATCACAAAAGAATCGTCCGTATCCGTCAAACCCCAATAAGGCGCCAATATTGCCTCTTTCTTGAGCCACCAACGTTCCCCGAAATTGTAAGGCCACCAGGGAAGCCATTGTGAATCAAACAGCAGCAATCCGTTGCGACAGATCTTAAACAGAGAATAGGGTAGGGTTAGTTTTGAATTAATTGGCAAAACCCGGCTTTTTTCTTATGGGCATTGATTCCAATAAGAATTACTTTGGGAGAGAATTTACAAGTTAATTGCGTCATGTTACTAAAACTACACCCTATTAAGCTTAGAAAAGAATGACTGTCCAAAAAAGCGTGGGAAAGACCTGATAGATTAGGTATACTATTATTAGTCTTCATCGGCAAATACGTCTTGAACGCTTTGAATTGGTTACAAAGTAATCGATTAATCGATTCGAGAAAAAAATCTACTTGTTTTAACTTCTTAGAAAAGGTTAGCAGGGTACCTTCGCATCTTCAAGAAAAACGGTAACAAGGCAAGCGACACCACAGTCCACAGTCATGTTACGGTTGTCAGGCAATTGTCTGACTACTTAATTGAAATCGAATGCAAGAAGATATATACGTACGTGGACTTTGTAATGACGCTTGCCGAAGAATTGCATTCCATCGTCCGGGATGTCGATCTTGAAACATTGCCACGAGTACTCATACGTGTTTGGAATTTCCGAATCACCAGCGGAAGAACCGTAGGGATACATGAGCTGCATCGGTCCTAATATGAGTAAAGTAATGAGGCAATTCAAATACAACGTTCTCATCAAAAGATCAAAATTGTCGAAAACTATTGATTGAAGATTGAAGATTGAAGATTAAAGATTCAACAGTGTTCTTTCACAAGATGTACTCTAAAATGTGACGGCTACATTACTTTCTATCCACTAAACAATTAGATTATGATCTCAAGAATGCTATCGCGAGGTAGCAAATAATTTAATTGTTTGAATGAAGATCACCCTATCAGCCTTAAAGTTAAGAGCAACTCAGGTTAATGTTGTCAGGTAGCTTAGCCTATTGTAATAATTTTACTTCAAAGGAAAAAGAAACATTAATCAACCTTATTGTAATGAATAATAATTTCTTGGCTGTGAAAGCAACCAATTTTAATAGCATTTTACCTTCCGTTGTCGGACTCGGTGTATTTGCCGGCTCCCCCGTCGTTTTTACTGAATCAAGAAGTAGAAATGAGGTATATGAGTATGAATGCAATTTTAAAAAGTATTACATTGTGCATCGTCTTTCCTGGTAGCGTAAGACATTGCAACTGAGTTTCATTGCAACTGAGATACAACTGAACAGATATTTATATTAAGAAACACCTTAGAGCAGGAAAATGAATGGAGGGCGAGTCTGTACACGCAGTTTGCGGACTTTGTGAAATATTTCCATTCGGTACACAGAAAATGCTTGTGGAACATCATGGGGAGCTATGGAATTCCGGGCAATACATATACAAAGGGTTTGAATACGCAGTAATCGACGGATGCGAAATATCAGACTGGTTCAAGATTAAGTTGGGAGTAAAGCAGGGATATGTAACGTCAGGATTATAATTCTTATTGGCCATGGATTGGATCATGAGGATGACAACAACAGACAACAGAAGAGGGATACGATGAATCTGAAAATAGTGTTGGAGGATCTTGATTTTGCGGACGACATCGCACTACCTTCATCCAAGTGTAATGACTTGCGTGAGAAGACTTGGAGGTTGACGGAGGAAGCAGCCAGAGTAAGCCTTAAACTTATTGCGAGAAAGTGCAAGACAATGAGGGCTGAGTTTGTGTATCTTGGAGCTATTGTAGACAAGGAAGGTGGAGGCAGTAGAGATATTAGGGACCGACTGCAGACGATACGAGGTGCATTCCAGAGGCTATAAAAGGTGTGGGCAGCCAGAGGAATAGGAAGGAGAACCAAGATACGCTTATTTAAGACTTTTTGTCAGTATAAAATACCCCATTTAGGCTTTGACCTATAGTTAAAGCCAAAGCATCACATGACTGAAAAGTCATTGCCTTGGTAAAACATAAAAAAAATATAAAAATTTGACTACTTACAAGTTACTTGTTCTATTCAGTTATTTTTAAGAACCAGAAAGAAAATTACCTGACGATGTAACAGCAGCAAATGACGATGTGGGCAAAATGACTGACGAATATGGCGTGTGACTTTTCTCTTTTGATGGCGTTGTTCTCAAAGTCTCCATGTAATTTGTTGGATTCACGGGACCTAGATAAGAACAGAAACCTTGAAAAATGACTCTTTTTATGTCCTACTCTCCTATGAATTGAAAATAAAATTGAAATAAATTTGTTATTTCATCAGTCACTACCTTCCATGAGGTGTCGTTTAGACATCTCACCGGACTCGGTTAGAATTTGATTACAAAACACTGCGAGCAAAATGCGTGTACGTGCAAAACATGGCGGGGCGCGAGAATAGAGATGGAATGTCTGTCGAAAATTAGATTTGTAGCACAGCAACACAGAAATATTCAGTTATTTTTAAGAACCAGAAAGAAAATTACCTGACGATGTAACAGCAGCAAATGACGATGTGGGCAAAATGACTGACGAATGTGGCGTGTGACTTTTCTCTTTTGATGGCGTTGTTCTCAAAGTCTCCATGTAATTTGTTGGATTCACGGGACCTAGATAAGAACAGAAACCTTGAAAAATGACTCTTTTTATGTCCTACTCTCCTATGAATTGAAAAAGCGTGTCTTCCGGTTCACATGGTGCTTGGCAGTGGGGAGCACGCCAGAATTAAAACGGAAACAAAGCCAAGATTTGGACAAGAGAACGACCCTATCGCAGAACTCACCGAATTCGAATGGTTTCTGATGTCCACGGGAAAGGAGTTTGATAAAAACATCATGCTTCTCACCCAGACAAGTCAAAGCAACTACGACGTCTTGGAATTGCGTGACATGGCAGATCATGACCAGTCAATGGTATTTGATGAATTTAAGGAACGACTAGCGCACTCGCCAGAAGGGTGGTACGAGACTACCCTCCCATGGAAAGCTAACCACGCTGAACTGCCCTCAATCAAGGAAGGTAGCTTAAAACGACTCAAGAAACGCAGTAGAAAAACTTCAACGCGAGGGACTGACGGCTCAATACGACGCGATAATTCAAGAGCAGCCAACAGAAGGCGTTATCGAAAAGGCACCTCCTGTTTCACAGTCACAGAAAGAGTTCTACATCCCTCACAAGAGCGTGATTCGCACGTCCGCTGATGTGGATCGTCTATGACGCCTCAGCCCGAGCGACACCCGATTCACCGTCACCGAATGACTGTCTGTACCTAGGGCCTGCGCTGCAAAACAAACTATGGGACGTTCTAATTCAGCAGAGAACCTATGCAAATGGCCTAACTGGAGACATTAAGAAAGCCTTCTTACAAATCTGAATTCACGAGAGTGAACGAGATGCCCTCCGTTTTCACTGGCAGACAGATTCGGACTCAGAAGTGCAGACATTCCAGTTCACGAGAGTTCTACTAGGCGGGGTTCTTGAATGCCATCTTGATACCTGGGCTGAGAAATACCCGGAGGAGGTAGAGCGGCTACGCCGAAGTTTCTACGTAGACGACCTGTTGACAGGCGGTCAAGACGTACAGCAAACAAAAGCACGAAAGGAGGCATCTTGAAAGATTATGAACGACGCCACATTTGAGTTACACAAATGGCACTCAAATCATGCACACTGGAAGATGACACTCAAACTGCACAAGGAGAGGAAGTTGCCCAGCCTACTTTACATCAAAACAGCGCCCAAGCCGCATTAAGGTAAGATCAGTCTCATGCAAAACAACAGTTTTTAGTCAAGCCAAGTGAGTCAAAACTATTAGCGTAAAATGGGACAAATTCGAAGATACTATCGCCGTGCAGTTCCTAAGCGCAAGTAGTGCACCGAAAAAACGTGAAGTACTGGCCAAACTAGCGAAAGTGTACGACCCCCTCGGCCTAGCGTCCCCCATTACACTGCAAGGGAAGCAAATCTATCGAGATGGGTGCGACTGCAAAGTATCATTGGACGCAGCTATCCCAGAGAATCTGAAAATACGCTGGCAAAGGTGGGAGCAGTCACTTCTGGCGGAAGTAACCATACGAAGACCCTCAGCACCTTATCAACAACCAGTCATCTCCGCTGAGCTGCATGTGTTCGGGGACGCGTGAACTTATGGGGTCGGAGCAGCGGTGTATTCAGTTGTACGCCAAGAAGATTGAATTACTCAAACCCTGGTTGCGGCAAAAACAAGATTAGCCAAGAGAGAACTAACCGTTCCCAGGTTGGAGTTAGTCAGCGCCCACAGGGCTACCAATTTTTTCATCAGTGTAAGAAACGGACTAAAAAAACTACCCGAACCCACGATCTACGGTTGGCTGGATAGTACCGTCGCCCTCCTCTGGATTGTGATAAATGGCCAGTTCCCACAGTTCGTCTCTAAACGCGTGCAAAAAATAAGACAATACCCACAGATCTAGAGGATACACGTGCCCACTACCGATAACCCAGCAGACCTGGCGAGTCGAGGAGGCCAGGTAACCAACGCACAGCTTTGGTGGAATGGCACAGCGTGGCTACGTAATCCTGAAATGTGGCCAGAGAACCCGGTTACCGTGAAATCCGAAACTTCAGAAGAAGAGGCAAAAGTCATAAGGGAAGTGTTAAGCCTAGCAAATGAGAAACCTGAACAAGAACGGAACGTGTTTGACGAACTCCTCGAACGCCATGATTTACGCCGAGCTCATCGCATCCAAGCTTGGGTGCGACGTTTCACTACTCAAGTGATCTGCTTGTTGGGGGCTGTAAACGTTTCATAGCTTCACCCTTAACAGTGCCACCCTCTGAACCACTGCCTACAGACCATACAAATGGTGGAGCAGCCTTCGAAGTTATTGGCACAGATTTTGCTGGTCCTATCAAGTACCATCGACATTCCTGTTCCAGCGAACCAGTCAGTTGCCAGAAGAGAAAATATGTAGGATCGAGGAACTGGACCGACGCAAACGCGCTAAATACCTCAGGAACTGCAAGAACAGTCTCTGGAGACGGTGACAGAGAGAATATTTAACAACTTTAAGGGAGCGGCACAACCCTGACACACAAAGCGGCCAAATTTCAGCCAAACGTTGGAGATGTTGTAATTATAAAGACCGAAAATTAGAATCGTGGGAGTTGGCCACTGGTGATAGTAAACGAAACCTATCCTGGGAAGGACGGAATCATCCCCGCAGTTCAACTCAAGACAGCAAAGGGCATGCTTGAAGGCCCGTTCAGCACTTGTACCCTCTTGAGCTAAACTGCGACCAGGTTGTGAGACACATGCAGACACTCCCTCAGCAGATTTGAACCCAAACGTGCTAGTGTTCAGGCCGAGACAGGATGCTGCAGTTGCTGCCAGAGCCCGAATCCAGGACCTTGCTGAGGAAGAACAATGAATTACAATTCCTTTTTCGGGAAAGAATTTGAAAATTTTTTTGGAGAGATCTCATCGTGAACAAAAGTGCTCTTGTGTGAACATGCTAGAAGGCGCCCTTTAAATCATGCAAACAAACAACTGGCGGTTAAAGCGGGTCAAAGTGCGTGTAGATCGCAACGCCTTACATTCTTTTTCGTTTGTTTATTGTTCTTGTGCAAGAGTGCTAATTGTAGTAAAATTTTGTGTGCGCTTTCTTTGTGTCATTGTGTAACGTTGCGTAACGTAGCATGTATTCAACCGTATTGTTCATCGTAGTTTGGTGCAGTTTTTGCAGTGTAGTTTCGTCGAGTGTAGTTTGGTAGATTGGTTCTTTTCGCTTCGTGCACTTTGTTCGCCACCAGGCAGGATCTATAACATCGCAACAAATGTAAGTTTGTATCATGTAGTTTTCTTCGTTGTTTTCGTTGTAGCTTTCCTTGTGTATTTAGTCTAGTTTATATTATAATAGTTTTCGTTCGCTGTTTTATTTGCAGTTTTAACCGTACCGTGTCGTTTCGTTCCGCGTTAAAAGCTGCGCTAGAATTAGTTAGTATTAGTCGCCAGTGGCAGTTACAGTGCGTTCCCTGAAATTCTTGTCTACTGAACTATTTGTAATACGAGACATTTCCTTTAACACTCATGTGGAATTAATTGCTGATGAGATTGAAATAAATTTGTTATTTCATCAGTCACTACCTTCCATGAGGTGTCGTTTAGACATCTCACCGGACTCGGTTAGAATTTGATTACAAAACACTGCGAGCAAAATGCGTGTACGTGCAAAACATGGCGGGGCGCGAGAATAGAGATGGAATGTCTGTCGAAAATTAGATTTGTAGCACAGCAACACAGAAATAAATAAGTCAATGATGTCTCTTAAAACTGTGAATTCTGTTCTGCAGTCTCCTTCGCATTACAACCTAGCCGCCACGAGAAAGCTAGCAAGAAAAAGTATCGTCCCAATCCTCTCTCGATCACATCAGTTTGTTTTGGTTTTGTCTAGACCAATCATTTCAAAGGAAATGGTATAGACAAAACTTACTATGGCCTCGATTGAAAATAACAGCTACAGATAAACAACTTATATTTGTTACTGAGTCTAGTTAATTTGATGCCGGTTCGAAGAATTTGTCAAATAAGAGATTATTCTAAGCTAAAACAGATTTGTAACATTGGATATAAGAGAATTCGCACTCGCGAATTGTTCCTTTCGCATTTTGTGAAAGACGAGTCCATAATGGTCTCACGTAGTATAAAAAATGGTAGAGACTACAACTTGGAGTAAGTTCGTTGACAATGAAACTTAAATTGCAGGGAACAATCATGCGATGACCCACACTATGTGTTAATTAAACAAGCAACACATAGATCCATGTCGGTGGGCTCCTTCTGTGAGTTATTAGAATGGTTTTGCAAGAGGACGGGAACGTCATTTCAGAACGGGAAAGCGCGCGGATAGTCTGGACACGACTCTATTTCGACTTCCGGTGTTAGCGGCGCCGTTCTCTCCAGCAAGTTCAGGACGTCATTACGCTGGTTTTCCCGTCGCGATCAAAACGCCTGGGATTTGCGTAAATTCGCTATTAAACGAGATAATGCTGTTTGAAATTATTTCAGAATTCATTTCCAAGATAACCTGATCCCTTCCTTTGGTCTATTCCGTGTATTCTGGGAAAATTTACCGCTTCATTTATGCTGAATTCCCGAAAGGAAACAATCGTTTGCAAGCGCCGGATCCAAGAGTTTTAGGACTCAGTACAATTGTAATTGAGCAAGGCTTAAAACAGCGAAAAGGCTGTTCTTTGACACATTTCTTTAATCCTGTATGAAAACTCTAAGAATGGGATGCCGTTAATTTACCATAAATCAATTCATCAATAAATTAGACTTGCTTCATGTTGAAGTTTATCAAAATGAAATATCACGACGCTTCACCTTTCTTCGCTTACCTACAGTATTATTCACTGTTATTTGTTGTTATAGTCATTTTTACCGCGATTGAAAACTTTTCTGCGAATTGAAGTCAGAGATTAAAAAAAAAATTGAGAATAGCTCAGGTATGCACTTTTTTATGTTTGAAATTTTTTTTCAGCGCCGGTGAAAACTAAGACAAGAAAGTCATGCTCTCGCTTCGAAATAAAATGACAATCAACTTGATTTCGGTACGGCTTTCTAAATTTATTAATTTGATTCAGTCTTGAACGACTTCATTCTTTTAAAAAAAATTAAATTAAACAAAAACGAAAACAAATTATAAAACAGGAATGAAGTCTTACTCCTAAGTCTAACCGTTTCGTTGATGACTAGCTTAAGCTAATTTCATTCTTTCACGGATAAATAGGAACTCATCGTAAACAACTCCATCGTTGGGTCGCTTGATTTCTACATGGTTTCGCCATAACTCCTGATAATTCCGTTCAAAATTCATTTCAACTCTAAGAAGGTCGTGCTCAAAAGAGATGTACTATCATAATCGAGAAGAATATTCAGTAAACGAGGGGAAAAACAACGACGATTTCCAATTATCATTTATAAAATTATGAAGAAAAACGAGTAGTGCTAAAATCTAGTAGCACGAAACGAAATGACAGAGACATAAATCATAGGAAAAGGTTTCTTATCGACATTTTTGCTGCGCGCGCCGTTCTGAAATGACGTTCCCGTCCTCTTGCTAAACCACTCTATTCTGCAAGTGCTGAAGTCCGCAGTGGCTAAAAAACCAGCGGACGGTTGAGGTTTTAAAAGCACCAAATAAAAGGCTTAAAATTTAAAGAATCCAAGCCAATCCAAATTATCATATTGTGCTCAGCGATCCCAAACATCTCTATGGATTACAGATCAAAGCCCAGTATAGATTAGGCTCAGATTACCAAACTTCAGTCGAACCTGTATTAGCTGGTACCGTATTAAGCTGTCACCCTGTATTAAGCGGTCGTGTTAAATTCCCTAATTTTTTCTCTTTTAATTACTGTAACTGTAACTTAATAATTAAGCGGTCACCTCTGAGTGAGTCCCAATGGCCTGTTTGTATTGCTAATTTTAAGAATGCGTCCACGAGAGCACTAGGCAGTCGTGCTACATGCCATCTCACCGATTTCAGTGAAACTTTGCCATTTTAAAGGGTCTACCCCAAAACTCAAAAAGACAAACTGGCTTCTGTTTTTGGTTTTTTTCCGCGGGGAGATACACCGCTCCCCCAGTTTTTCTTGGTTTTCACCAAGGAAATCGCTTCAAAATAGGTAAATGTATGAAGCTCTCAGTGCGATGGTATTTAGCCAATTACACTGAGGGTTTGCACATATTATTATTACATCCTAAGTTATTGTCCCATGCAAGTATCAGTCAATTTGATTGACGGCTTGTCAATCAACGTAGGCAAATAAACGACTGTGTTCTTAGACTGTTCAATTCATCCAAATATTTGACAACTTTGAGGTCAAATATCTCCCCTTGCCAGAAAGCTACAACACTAATCTTAATTCCCCTTTATAAGCCATCATTTCATCCCTGAAAACCATCAAAGAAATATCTGAGCGCTACTGTATTTTTGTCTTGGATGCTTTTTAAAATCTGCGACTGTGACGAATTTCTCTCGACTACACCTGCCACGCAATTCTGGCTTTAGGCGGTCACTTGATCAAATAAACCTACATTTTCTAGCTCTTCATACAAGGTGATTGATCAAGAAAGCTAAAAAAGTAAAAAACTTTCGAGATTTTCGAATTCATTAGTCTATAATTTGATTGTGTATTATCATTATCATTATCACACAGATCACATTAAGTAAAAAGGAAAAAGGAGATGAGATTTTAAAGTCACATGTCGCGTGCTTGTTGACGTTCCCGTGTGTAACAACTTTAGCTTTTCCAGACCGCGGATGACGGGAACTCTGCCCCCCTCATTTAAAGGGAAGTATCAATAGACCCATAAAATTCATTTACTGCGCCATGTTTCCAGAAAATAAGACTGGGAAAGGTTTTTTCCACTTTCCACCATCAAGAAATTCCACGCAGAAATAGTATTTGTAGCGTAATTGCGTGACCTTCCTTGAGAAGTAAAAATTTGTTTATCAGTTTTTTCAAGAAAACGCCGCTAGAAAGTTCTTAAACCCTCTGTTATTTTATTTTCGCTGAATGTCATGGCCTTTCCTACGTGTGAGCCAGTTGGTACACAGCACTCTTTCGAGTGTCTTTACATGGTGCCGGGCTGATGTGAGTAGGTCTGGCTCAAAAGATATCCGCACGCTGCAACACGGGTTCCTATGTCTTCTCCTTTTCCTTTACTTGTATTTATTTCCATTAGAACATAAAACTAGGTCCCGATAAGTTTTTTTGTTTCGTGACTCCCAAAAACTGTGTTTGCGATAACATCAATTGAGAAATCAAAAGCGATTACGCCCGAGAAATTCGCTTTTAGCCTTCTAGCCGCAGAAGTCTACTATAGTCAGACAAAACGCGTGAGAGATAAATGCAAGTTTTTATTTCTCTCAGTTTGTGCAGTGATGCTCACTAGTTTGTTCCGTCCAAAACGCTTTTAACGTGAAGTCACGTCGACCTCGACAGAAAAATTAAGCTCACCCTGTCATGATCAATGGTTTGATACCGTAAGTACCAATTAAGGTACATCATTGCCCTTTGATCACAATAATGAAAAAAATGTGCGTTTCCTCACGCTCGCCACATTTATTCCTTGGAAAATTATTTTACTGGAGGGCGATGGCGTTCAGCTTGGGGCGAGTTGACTCTGGCCGACGAAAATTATCGAGGTGAGCCCCATGAAACCGAAATTCAACCTAAAACTCGAATTGATAGAGTCAAAATGGCGCAGTCGTCTTGTTCATTTGCAACTAACTGTAAAACCAAATGTTATTTTTTCTTGCACTTGCCAGGGACGGCAAGAGCTCGTAACCATAAATTCGTGGGTGCGCAGCATAAAAAAGCATTTAAGAGACGTCAATGTATCCCAAAAATGCGTTTCGTCCGAGAAGAAGCTTCTTCTAGCTCGTATTGGCTTATCTGAGATTACGAAGGCTGCGATTTCACGATATGCCTCGAATATTGTGCACAACTTCGTGCGAGATTCAGACCTTCGGGTTCGTAAATGCCAGTATCCTCCTCATAAAAACCGGAGACGTAAAGTTGAGAGAGAGGTAAATCTGAGGATGGCAGAAGAAATCAAAGCTGGCGGCGAGTCTTCCTGGTGGCAAGGTGACTGTAAAACTAATAAACCCGTACTGTAACTGCTATCTTAGAGTCGACAATGGCTATGGAAGAAGGGCAAGACGAGCGCTTATCTCAACATCAGTTTTCCTAACTTGTGATTTGTGACTGAGATGAACTTTATTTCACATGATTGCTCGGGATACACAGATACTGTAAAGGGGCTTACATCAATTGAGGTAGGCGATCCTCCCTCTAACTTTAGAACAGCGAGAAGTTTATAGTGCAGGCTAACTGGCACAGTTTGGAATACCTCAGGATCTCACAAGGATCATCACATTAGAAACCTTCATCAAACTAATCGTAGAAGCGGGTGATTATCAGCAACGAGCACAGATCTCTGAAAGCGGGTCATCGCGAGAACTATACCCAATCCGTCACAGACAGAACAAGAAAGCGAGATATTCTTGCTGAGAGGATGGTTTTATTAAGACGTTTCAGTCATTCACTGCCATCCAAAAGCACCTTAACAAAGGAAACACATAGTGAAGCTGACAAAAAAAATCCACCTATGATAAGATCAAGAGGAAATGGACGAAGACTTGCCATTCTGTAGGAGGTGGCTACGTTCAAGGTCGGACCTCGGGTAAAATTCTGACGAACAATCCCTAACTAACCAGGTGGACTTTAGATGGGCTCTTTGGAAAATACAAAAAGCAGACGCCTTTTCTCAGAAAGCTAAGAATTATATCCTAGAAGTGTGCTGGACAGGGGAGTAAACTAGTAAGGCAATTGCCCCTAATATGGCTTCCCAAATATCGAGTTTTAGAGACGACACCGGCCAGAAATGTTGTCCAAGACTGACTGGTTGATAGAGCAGCAAATCGCTCGATACTTCAGCCGGTTATCTGCTGAGACAAAAATTGGTTTATCGGCGAGGTCCCCCTCTGTAAGTATGAATGAGGACGAAGGGGCCGATGCCGATAATCTAGCTTCAGAAGTCGAAACTGACCGAACAGGGGAGAAGATAAGGAAGGACCTTGCAAAATTTAGACGAAGACTGCAGGGGAGGGTACAGCTGCAATTTGGAATAAACAAACACTTGTTAATTTTTTCAAAGACCACAAATTGCACCCGCCCTACGGGCTCGTGCAATTTTGTTAGTCTTTAAAAAAATTTACTTGTGCTTATTTATTCCAAATTGCACTCGAAATCATGTGATTACCTACACAAACACATGTCAAGCAATTAAACGCCGGCAACACTCGATCGAGAGAGATGTAGATTTACATAAAGGGATAGAATGCTTGAAAAAACAAAAACAGATACCAGTTTGTCTTTTTGAGTTTCGGGATAGGCCCTTTAAACTGGCAAAGATTCATTAAAATTGGTGAGATGGCATGTAGCACGACTGCCCGGTGCTCTAGTGGACACACTCTTGAAATCTGTCCATTCTTAGGCCTAACGTGTAAAGTTTTTGGCCGTTTTGCAGCTATCGGTTAACCCCATTGAGACCTTCGTGAAAGAGAAATGTTAAGTATGTTTTCTTCCAAAGCAAGGCGAGAGTAACTCGTGTGATCGCGGTGAGCGGCGAAAGCCTGTCTGTTAAAAATATAGAAGTATGAAATAACATGCAAGTTAGGGCATAGTCGGTTGCGTAACGCGTCAAAACCAATTTCGCGCTAGAAAAATGTTTGATGATTATAAAAGAGGATATTCAGATACTCACCACCGGTCGTTGTGGATTCATATTTCGCTTCAAATCCACGATCAACTGTTTGTCCAGGATGGAAGATCACAAGCATTTGGTTTCCAATCGACAACTGAGTCTCATTCCAAGCCGACCCCTGGCAAAATCGCCCTAGCAAAGGCGAACTTGTTGACCCACCATCATAGAGCTCCACATAAGAACAAGAATCCGAACAAGGACTGGCTGAACACTCACTTAAGACAAAGTCAGTAAACGTAAACTTTACAATTTTTTCAGCTGGTGCAGTAATGTTCCAGGTACAATTTCTGGACGCAGTGTAGTTACTCTTTGGGTAGTTTGTGCTGCTTATTTTCCCGCTTCCTGAGAGAGGAATTGCTTCCCTGGGACAAACTGTAAGTAATGAAATAGGAGCATGTGAGTGTGGGAGATTAAGTATAGACTGTTGCGGGCGTTCAGTTGGTAAAACACAGTGCCATATTGAACAATGCGAGAGTAGCAGAGGAGTGAAAACAAAAGGGAGGGGTGGGTCATGTTGTGAAATCAACTTCTTCATTTTCCGACCAGACCCAAACCTCACTCTCTTTTTCATTACGCCGCTATTATCGTGCCCTTGGCTATTTCGCTCTGTTTTACTAACGAGAACGATTGGAACAGGCCAGAATAAACATGGATTGGTGATAAATATATGGTTTCTTTCACAGATGCCGTCAAATGTGCATGGTAAGAACAAAAAAGGGCACACGAGGCGCTGCCAAGTGTCAGTCATGAACACAGGGTGACATCATCTGGTATCTCTTCCTGAACAGACGCACGACAACGTGGAATCTAATTGTTTCATATGCGATGAAGAAGCAAATTGTTGTAAATGGTGAAGTCATTTATGCCTCTGTTCTCCAATAGGTGATAAATAACAACCAATCAAAATGCCTACCATATAACTATTGATTCGAATAAAGGTCAAAATCTATACAGACCAAAACGGCTCAAAACCATACTCTTTAGGCTGATACATTCCAAAATGGCTTTTATAAGGGAGTAGCCCCAAGGCAAGAATATGAATATTTGAAACTCGTTACGGTGACCAATTTACATTATCAAATCAGTTGATGAAACCAAATTATCTTGTTATACTCTACGACCGACGCAACACCACCTCTATTCAATTAATGTTGACATGGCTTCCCGGTACATCACCGCTTATACTATACATCAGAGATGTTCACATTCACCCTGAGTTGATAGCAGAGAGAACCTCCACTCTTATTAACTAAGTTCCTTATCGTTATTTGTATGAGTGAATTTATTGCATGTACTCATATTCTCTTAGCGAACTCTGAGATCTTATGACATTGTTTCCTCTACTTACTTGGAGGACTGTAGTTCAACAGCTTGTAAGTTACCCCAAATCCGTCATAATCCATGTTTGCATCATCAGACACAAACAGCACCCTCAAGCTTTCGTGCAGTGAATAAAATTTTACAGGAATAAACCTTGGTGTACCACATAGTTTTCCAGGCAGCGCTTCATCACTGAAGCTATTCTGAACTTCCATATAATCACACGAGCAAGCAGCGCCACCACAACGTTCAAGATTATAGTCTGGTATTGTCAGCTCAACACGGTATCCTAGTTTCCCTATAATCTTCCAGCTACATGTCTGGTTGAATGGATAGTTTCTTGGATAAAAGGGAGAGGAGAAAGAACCTGATGTTTCATCGAGGATCATATCTGTTGGGCACACTGAAAAAAGACTGCCAGCTTTAGTAAAATGCAGCTTTCTAACGGCTCAAAAGCTTAATTTATTGAAAGAAACATCTAAACGAAGCTTCTTTCTCTCCGAAAACTGTTCTAGTTTTGATGAGGTTTACAGTCCACAGTGGTCAACTGGATGGTTTCGAATGCTGCTTACAGCTCCTTTTCCGTGAGTTGACGGTTTCATACTTTAGTCAATATAACGATTGTGAAATATGGCAGCTTGCGTTCTAGTAAAAGGCTTGACTATATGCAATTTTTTTTCCACAAACTTTAGCTGTAAAAAGATTGCTTACTTTATTATTTGCATGATATACTCAACAAATTTCTCACTCAGTTTAATAGGGGTACATGCTCAGTTCACTTCTGTACTTCCGGTTAATAAACTACCATAGAAGAAAAGCGCTTACGTGAATCTCCATTTATCGCCTCAAAGGTTGCATTGAACCCTTTGTTTACAGAGCCGTTGCGAGATTCAAATCTCACTTGAATGAAATTTTCCTTGGAGTACACAGGAGGGGGAAGCTTTTGACCACAGATCTTAAAGTCATTAGGTTTTCCTCCATGAGAGGCAACGTTTGTGATAAAGACTCGGGCACTATCTGCTGCCACTCCAGCACAGTCATCGTTTTCACCTGCTACCAGGGTAAATTTCAAGAAGGTCAGTTTGATGATTTTCCCACCGGGTACCGTGATATTCCAGATACAAATCCTGTTTGCGTCATAGTTGTTGGGAAAATTGGGGCTGGAAATGTGACCACTAAAAGCATTAATGGACTCTCCAAGATAGCTGCAGGCTGAAAAAAAAAGGTATCTTTCAGTTACTCTTTTGGTTTCTTACTCCAGACAAAAGAATTCCAGCAAAATAAAAATTGAAAATGTGTTTCAAACTAGCGCTTTCGTCACTATATCTTGCAGCGTGTAGATCTTTTGAGCCAGACCTAAACACCCGAGCCCGACACCAAGCAAAGAAACTCGAAAGAGTGCTGTGTACTAACTAGCTCGCACGTGCACGCAAAGGCCATGACATTCATTGAAAATAATGGCAAATGAGAAGATAATTGCAGTCACAAGACATGGAAACATCGCATTTAATGAATTTTGTGAGTCTATTGATATTTCCTTTCAAATGAAGGGGACAGAGTCTCCCGTCATCCACGATCTGGAAAAGCCGAAGTTGTTACACACGGGAACTTGTACGTCAACAAGCACGCGACATGTGACTTTAAAATCTCCTCTCCTGTTACAGTTTCCTTATTGTGAACTGTGATGATGACAAACGATAATGATGACAAACAATCAAATTATAGACTAATGAATGTTTAATGCCGTACAAAAGCCCTATTTCCTTATGTTCGCAAATCTCCAAAGTAATAAACGAGAGAAGAAAGAAACGCTACGATTTTCCCTTCAATTTTTCGCTTACATGCATCTCTCAAAAACTGGAATTTTCTATTCCTACCGGAAATCTTGGGGAACTCAAATAAAACTAGAAACAATCCACCAAATTAACCTTCATCCATATTTCTTTCCAGAAATCAACGTTAGTAGTATTTTTGAGAGAGATTTTGAACATTAAGAGCGTTTTTTTTTCAGTTCGGGAGAGAGGTGACACATCAACCGAAAAATGAGATACCTTGTAGTTAGCTTATCGCGAAAACTGAAACAAACGTCGGTAGCCGTACAATGGCGGAAATGGTTTCTCCGAGTAGGAGCAAGTGAACTTTGCTCATAAAAGTCGCAAAAGAAAGCAAGCTCGTATCAATTTGAAAAATTATCAGATGCACCACATTTTACCGCGACACATATGATATAGAATTGAATCGAAAGAAACATTTCAGAGGAAGAGAGCTCGAAATAGACTTCTTTCACCTTTAGAGTGAGCGAAGAAATTTTGATTGAAATAGAAATCACGGTGAACAGGAACTACCTTTGCCTTTACCGTCAGCCAACAGCCGACTGCCTAGTATTATTTAGAGACTTTTAAAGCTGATCTCTCCATTGAATGTAGCTCTAGTAGCTTTCAGCCTAGGATATCACACATGAACAAAACTCTAAACGCAGACTCATCCAGCAAATAGACCTTTAGCTATGTGGTCACGTGGTTTGATGGGTAAACAATAACTCAAAGTGGCTGCTCAGGTATTTACAGACGACATCTTAGGGCCTTTCGGCACGATCGAAAAAGTTGTTTATCTGGAAAATTTTTTTGTCGTGGCTAACAATATACAAGTTGCAGATAAATTTTTAAACGTACCGCCGACAAAATCTGTTCCGGGTAAATACTGGACAAAATCGACTAAGGGCCTTCCCGCACTGGCGGACTAAATTAGAATTGTCCCGTAAAACTCAAAGGACAAATTTTCGTTTTGTCTGTTGCATCCGCGTAAATAATTTCAAAGACGTCAAATTCCGTCGGCGCCAGATCTGTTTATACTATATAAAGTAGATACGCCAGCATAGTTTGCTAAAGGATTCCACCTCCACTTTCCAGGATTTATCCTAAGTCGTTTTCAAATTTTGGAATCCCTGAGCTTTGCAGCAAAAGACAATTTTTGCCTTTCTAGTAAACTGATTTCAGTTCAATTACACGCTCGTCGTAGCTTATATACGACAAATGATTGACAAGTATCTCATGGTTTTGTTTATTAAGTCGATTTTGCCAAATTTTTACCCGGAACAAATTTTGTCGGCGGTGCGTTTGACGATTTGTCCACTTCGGCCAAAATTTGTCAAGTTGCGACAAACCATTCGCACTTGTAAAAATGTTGGTGCTGGGACAGAAAAGTTGCCTTAATAAACAACTTTCTCGCTAGTGTCGATGATTTGTCTTAAAGGCTACGGCAAAAGAATCTTTAATTGCAAGACTCGGGGATTCTAAAATTTAAAACGACTTAGGATAAATCCTCGAAATTGGATTTGGAATCCTTTGGCAAACTATGCTCGCCGATCTTAATTAAGAACTGATTAAACGCTGACGGAATTTGGCGGCTTTGAAATTTTTAATGCGGATTCAACAGACGAAACAAAAAGTTGTCGTAACAAAATTTGTCCTTTGATTTTGTCGAAACCGTCAATTCCAGTTTTGTCCGCGAGTGCGGAAAGTGGCTTATAGATGGATTCGCTTTATATCTAGCCAAAATTTCCATATTCACAGATAAATCAGCACTCAGAAGACTGAAGTAATATTGACTTTAGTAACGAGCAGATTATTCAGTCAAGAGTGCTTTCTGTCGCATAGTATTAGTCGTAGTCGTGATCGATAATTTTACTTGTTTTGGCGTCGTTACTATATAATTGCCTCTATTTTGAACCAAAGAGTGACTGTCAAAGTAGGACGATTTGTTAGAGGTTGAAAATAACTTTTGCGAGCGATAATCCAATCTATATTAATTAGAAGGATAGCATATTACTTGGGAAAAGTCTTTTAAAGATACTTTTACTGTTTCTGGTGACATCCGAAATAAACACAGAAATATGCATATTTAATTGGGTAAAATCTGCCGCGTCAAATTTTCAAACAACTGAAAATTTCTCCCGTTTAAAAAGTCGATGGAACCTTTAACTACTTTCCTGAAATACATTCATCAAAGGGAGTGCAAACATAATCGCACCTTCGCTCTCCAAAGTTTTGATTTGTACACCAACTCGAGGATTTATTTCAAAGTGCAAACTTCCACATAACTGAAGTGACGGGCCCCGTTTTATATTTGACGTAAGTCTGTTTTTGCCGCATAAAAATTGGCGGGGGTACACCTCTAGACATATTTTTCGGCTACACTTTGTTGCAAAAGTTACCTCAAATGCGGTTTCGAAGTGGATATAGATAAACATTCCGATGCAGGCAACTAAATCTGAGCAGAAGACGCGGGAGAACCAGATATTATGTCAGTGAAAGTCACTGTCTGATCTCGTTCACGCTTACAATTCCGTTCTCTTTTTAGGTTTCTTGATAATTTAATGAATTTAGAAATGTATGTAAATATGACAGATAGTAATATTTTCTAGCGTTAGTCAATGAATCTCTCTCGTCCCATAGTAAATTTACGCGGACGGAAATTACGTTGTTAAATAAGACTGTACATAGCGGCCTGCGTAAACTTAAAACGAAAAATAAGAAGAGTGCTTACGTTGGGAAGAAGTGAAAATCACCGGAAACAGCAACAGCTTTAAGAACAGCATCTTCGCCGAACTACCAGGCTTACTGTGAGTATCGATCAGCATCAACATTTCTTTGTTGCAAGGAAAACAACGCATTGAGTAATATGATCGCTCATAATCAAATCTGATCAACATTAATTCCGACTGTCTGGGGAACAAAGTCGGGGCTATTATAAAGTTGACAGGTCCCTGCGATAACAGGTGTCCCAAGGTCACGTCTTTAGAAAACGCAAATGATGATAATGACCTACGAGATATTTTGCGAAGTTTAGACGGCTGCTTTAGTCATTTTACCGTTTGCCCAAGAACAACTGATGGCTAGATACAGGGACACCATCAAAGTAATATCCGTAAAAGCCGAGCTATGAAGGACTAGAGGTCTACAGTTTCAGGTAAATTTGTCAAAATAAGAAAGTAAAATATCCGTAATACGATGCAATATATTTCAACACTGAATTAAACTAGACTGCAGATTAAGGAAAGCGGATCAGGGTACTAACGGGGAGTTAATTTGTTTACATCGACGATTTTGGACACGATTTTGAATAGAAAAGAAAAGAACATTTAAAGGGATAAAATTGATGAACATGGTGGAAAATGTATTTTGTGACCTTGAAAACGTAGTAATTAGGCTTTTTTAGGGGAATGAAAATTTAGTCGTACCGTACCCTTTTTTTTGAATGGTATGGTCTTTCGGGAAATTTCAAATTGATTTTTGCACGTGTCATACATATGTAGGTCCCTTTCAATCACCTTTCACGAACGAAACATACTCCTGTGAAGACGTTTTATTTTTGTATTTCTTCTGAAGTTTTTATTTTACATATACATACCCTGGAACGGTAGCTTTTGGTACGGACAATCGATTCCACGTGTCAAGCATCCGTTTCTTACTGGATGAGATGGCTTTCGAAGAAAACTAATGAAGGCGTTCACGAAACTCATAAGTTCGAGTTTCATGATCTTTTGAAGGTAATGAGTCCGTTTCTTACGTTTTGTTTCATCACGATTGTTCCATCGTTCTCTTTAATTTCTTTTTTTTACCATAATAATGCTATATTGCCAGACTTCTAATATTATGCGGTACCGTGATTTCGCATGAAAGGCCTCAAATTGATTTAAATTCAAGGAAAATCGGACCTATTCAGGATTTTTATTTAGCGCTCGCCCATTCGTCAATGCGAGTGTGAAGCCTGTCGGGCGAGCGCAAATCGTGGATCACTCGCCCGGTTTGGCGAGTGGAATTTTCATTCAGTTCATAAAAAAAATGAAACTGACTGTTTTTGAAAAAAATATAAAACCTACCAGTACTTTTTACATTCTGGAAGCTTAAGAAACCTGGTACATACACACACATTCGCGTTTCGGATACGCACGAAGCCATTTGATGTATAAATATATCAAACGGCTTGTACAATAATTACATGAATTAGATAATCATAGTCATGTCACTGCTGGTCATAAACAAATCGTCCCACTGAGTTTGAAGGCAACTATGGCGACCCGACTGGCGACCCAAACAATATCTACTCACGGGTTACCACGAAGTTTTCACGCAAAGTAAGCAATTTAAGGTTTATTTATCAATTAAACTGACTTGAAACTGAAAGTAAGAGTCTTTTTTCTTTGAAGCTACTTAGTTTTGGAGAATCCATGAACACAATAATTATAAATATGCCATTGACAACACCTCACTTTGTTATTCTCCAAGACGGAACTAATCGCTAATCTTTTATTGAAAATGTGGAGATATCTTCCTGGAGTATCGATTCCCAACAAAAAGGATGTAAAAGAAATTCCTCAAAAGGCAGATTCCAGAGAGTATGAGAAGACGAGATCGAGGAAATTTTCTTCGAAACGGCCGGTTGGCCGGCCTTGGTTAAAAGATGATGAAAACAGCATGACATGTGAGTGGTGTATGGAAAACAAACAAACCTTGATTTCACAGAGCGTTTTGACTTAGAGTAAATTCATAGATGGCTGCACAAGCTATAAGGCAGAATCTATCGCCTATCACGAAAACAGTGCAGCTCATAAGCTCGCTAGCCAGTACCACAAGGCAAAACAAAATTCAGAAAAAACCCCCGCATATTTGGCCAGGCAACAGTTGCTAAAACAGTACAGCGGGAAATTGAGGTTGTTATTCAGAAATACTCATGCAGTTGCCAAGCATAAGAAATCAATTTCAGATTACAACTGGCTTTGCGATCTAGATGAGGCAAAAGGACTGACACTGGGAAGAACACACCGGAACATCAACGCCTGTACGACATTCATGAAATACATCGCAATAACAGCTAAGGATCAAGTTGCTGACGAAAAAAAGAAAGCGAAATTCGTGAGCGTAACTTCAGATGGTGCCACAGATGCCAGCATCACTGAGCAAGAAATTGTATTTGTGTGCTATAGCAGCAAAGGCGAACCAGTCGCCGAATTTGCAGGTTTAAGGCAGCCTGTCAGCCCGGAAGCCACTGGTTTATTTCAAGCCATCATGGAAGCCCTTGAAGATGTTGGACTAAATACGGAAGAGTTGGCGAAGAAATTGGTGGGGTTTGGTTGTGATAGAGCTTCCGTTATGGTCGGGAAAAAGGGGGGCGTTTCAGCATATTTAACCCGTTTACAGCCCAACTGCATCACCGTGCATTGTTTTGCTCACCGACTGGAGCTTGCATTCAAAGATGCAGTAAAAGAAAACCTCCTCTACGATAGCTGTATTGTTCTTCTGATGGGCTTGTATTACTTTTACCGCAACAGTCCAAAACAGCGCCAAAGTCTGAAGCAATCCTTTTTGAGTCTAAAGCAGTCCTCTCTCATGCCAGCCCGCGTTGGTGGCACAAGATGGGTTGGACACATGGTGCTGGCCATTGAGAATTTTGTTAAAGGGTATCCTGCAATTTGTGCTCAGCTTGAAATTTGCATCACACAAAAGGTAAGAAAACATTGTTCCTAAACATTAATACTGTCATATGCGACAAACAGTAGGGATTTAAACCATTTTTAGGCCACAGATATTCATGATTTCTATATTCTTCAGTTTTAATATAATATATCTCAATTTTCCACGGCTTTTTAGGGAAATGCCCAAAACAAAGCCAGGGGTTACCTAAAACTTATGAAACGGCCTGATGTGATTGCATATCTCCATCTGCTGCATGATGTCCTTTCCTCTCTACGACTTCTGTCTCTCACCCTGCAGTATAACCAGACAACTTTAGCAGACGTTGGCGAGAAGATTGATGTCGCTAAAGATGTTATCAGCTCATTCAAGGAAAAGTACGAACATCTAACATTTTTGAGGCTTCTAGTGTTAATTGCTTAAACCTTTTAATTTTTTTCAGCGATGGTCCAAGACTAAAACAGTTTTTCAGAGACCATGATCCTTAGGCCTCGACGTACAGGGGTAGGCCAATGAGTGGCAACGTTTCAGCGGGAAATTTCCATGCAAAGAGTACCAAACGGTTGACTAAGGGTATCTTGGCCACTTTAGAGGCAAGGTTTGCTGACGTTTTGAATGATGTCATAGCTGCAACCTAGATAGCGAATTTCAAACAGTGGCCCTTGTATTCTAAAAAGGATGACGTTACAGGTGAAGACACAAAAATCAACCCAATAAAAAGTTTTTATTTTTGCCAAATACAGAGTGAATAAAGAAGGTCCTAATATCTTATTTATTTTTATTATTATCACGGCTTTTGGAATTAAAGAACTCCACGTCCTCTGCCAGCACTTTGGAGGGGTGCTCCAACATGCGGAAATTGACCGTGGAACTGGAATGGGTGTTGCTCAAATCCCATCTTTATAACAAGTGAGTCGTGAACATAAGTTTCATAAAGTGATTTTCACCATGCATCGATCTTCAATATTTATGTTCGCGTGATATTTTTTAATTATCCTTTTAGATCCAAAGAACACATTCAAGAACTCAAATGGCCTGAAGTTCACAGCCTTTATCACGAAGGTCATGAAAACGTCCTTGCCGTTATAGATCTTATCGTTACCCTTCCGGCAAGTTCTTCTGCAAATGAACAGGGCTTCAGTCAGATGAAACTTACGAAGACTAGCATCCGAAACAGACTGAGCAATGCGACTCTAAATAATTCAATGGCAATTCAGATGTTGACGCCTAGTGTGAAGGAGTTTGATCCAGACCAAGCCATAAACAAATGGATGATGGGTGGAAAGAGAGAAAGAAGACCAATCTTCAATGAAGGCAGTTCAAGAAAGCGAGCCAGATTAGAGTCAAACGTTAACCTTTCAGACCTAGATTAAAACACACAAAAATTATGATAAATAGAACGCAGATGGAGTTGGACTCGGGATTATTTCAGAGACAGTGCTTTTCTTTTTGTGGATGTGAGCATGGATGCCACAGAAAATCATAAGAAACAATTGGCAAACAATTGACAAACAATTCCTTTAGGATCACAAAATGTTTATTTACTGTAATCATAAGACAAAAATAAAGCTGTGTCTTTTAAGTGATCAAGCGACATTCCCAATAGTGGATATAACAAAACATTTTGTCGACACCGATTGTGTTCATACTTCCTCGACAAACGCAAATAAAGTTTTGGGATCCTCCGTTGACTTGGCTTTTTAAGGTATGCACTACAGCATCGTTCGATGAACAAGTCACACCAATAATCTTCACGTCCTGCAAATCGAAGCAACGAAAAACAACTTTTTCAGTGATGGCGAGTGCTTACTGATCAGGTGAACTGTTTTTCCTTGAAATTAAATCACATACTCCTAACTACTTTACAAATGAGCTTTGAGGAGAGGAGTAATTGGGCGTTTTTTTTCCATTTAGGAGTAGTTCATGGACAGTAAAGATACTTAATCAAAAATTATTGCATGATTAGAAAAAAGACACTTACATGCAGCTCCTTTACATTAACTGTAGCGCGTGCCTGGTCACCTTTGGTAACACCGCCGCTCGTTTTCTCTTTGTAAGAACACAAACTGAGGTTTCCAGGCCCTGGCCGGCCGGGAGGTCCTGGCGGGCCGGGAGGCCCTGGTACCCCATGGGACCCATCACCGCCTGGAGGTCCGGTAGGGCCCTGGATGCCTGGGGAACCATTAATGCCCTGCTCACCCTTGGGACCAATGGGACCTTGCGATCCATTGATACCTGGAATGCCAGGAATGCCGGAAACACCAGGTAAACCTCTTGGCCCCGCTGGTCCGGCAGGGCCTTGGATGCCTTGGGAGCCATTAATGCCCTGCTCACCCTTGGGACCAATGGGACCTTGCGATCCATTGATACCTGGAATGCCAGGAATGCCGGAAACACCAGGCAAACCTCTTGGCCCCGCTGAACTAGTCATTCCGCTGATGTTACTGATCTTGGAACAAGAGAGAAAAATGATGCTTTACCAAAAGAGATAGAATCACTGGTGGTGGGGGGCGCTACTTCCCATACATCCTCCTAAATGAAATCGAAACGACGTTCTCACAACTCGCAAAATAATCTTGCTAGAAATTGTCAGCGTATAGGTCCCACATACTTTAGAGTTGTCACATTGTGTTTCACAAAGGAAAACACGGCAATCGACAAGGCAGTCTACATCTTTTAGGATGCGAAGACGCTGTCCGTTTTGTAACGAACATCAGGCCGGGATCGATGCTCGTAAAGTTTATCGCTGTCGGCTCGGCTGATTTCTGTAGCGAGATTAAGGTAACATTTGCATTGTGACACTTCAATGCAAAACCAAATTAGTAAATAAAGGATTTTCAAGGACTCTCTGTGTTAATGCAGAAACAGAGTGCTATTTATAAAATAATGAGAGTGAAACGATTTTCTGATAGATAAATACATTTGTCCAGCGACTATATAAATCGTATTAACGATTTGAAAATTACAATTTAAACTCACGATAACTAAGAACTTAAATTTTGTAGCCTGCAGGGCAAGTGTTATTTTTTTTTTTGCAATTATAGCTGCCATCTTTGATTTTACTGGCAGCGGAAGGAGGGTAAGAGATTTACGCCCTTCTAAACGTTAACTCGCCTTAGTAATACTGCATTGCGGGCTATAAATTTTGCTGATCACGTCGCTCAAAAATTTTCATGTAGACGCATTTACTAGATCTGCTTAAAACGTACTGTGAGTACCATTTCAATCGAAGCTTGGAACTTTGAGCCGCAGCTTACACATCCAAACGAAGACATTTCCAGCTGAACTCGAATTTGTTATTTAAAAGTTCTTCGCATCCTCAAACGGGCTTCGCTAAAGCAGAATCACAAACGGTCGAAAGAAACGAGCGTATCCATAACATACAGTTTTATTGCGGTAATAAGTTTCAAAATGTTGTAGAAAAACAACTGTAGGATTTATTTGCAAGACCAGTTTCGCAATTCGTATGTAAAAAATTTAAGCAGCCCGTGTGATATCCCGCTGAAAAGCCCGTGAATTGACCGCTTTGCAAGTTGTGAGATCATTGTCGCTCCCCCCTCTCCCCTGAACAGAATAAACAAAGCAGAATGATGAAAGTAAATAAATTTCATTGCTGGCTCTTAGCTCTTAATGACTGAATAAATTGAGTTTAAGAAAACAATCACGTAACGTACAAATAAAAAAATTAAGCGTTTCCTCGGGTAAATAACCACGCTCTAATACGGCGCGCTTTCCCAATTAAACGCCCACCCTCTTGGCAACAATAAATAAACAATATCTTTCGAATACGTCTCTCCCTACAATCTCAAATTGTAGGAATACTAGAAAATCCTGTTTCTACGTTATTTATGACTTTTTGAGCTTTAACTACTGCGGAGTTATTTCATGTGCTGCGCCACTAAACAAGCGCCCCCGGCGTCGACAAAGCGCCATCCTTTCAATAAGCACCCCTCCCATAAGCTGAAATTCTAAATAAGCACCTGGGCGCTTATTCGAGGAAAAACTGTAAAAGTATAATGAAGCGTTTTGGTGTCATTCAGCTTTGCACTCTTTGTTTGATCTGCGTTATTGCGAGTTAAGCTTGGAGACCAGTAAAGTTGAAGCCATCACAATTAAGTTTATGAAAATAGATCAACTTATCAGCCGGAAGGTATGTTGATA